TATACCTCCACAAAGACAAAGGTGTTGGTAAGGTCACATGTAAAGGAGTGAGTGTCGTTGACTACCTACTGTTTACTGTTGATATAGCTAATAGTATTGTTGATTTTGAAATTTGTGAATATAATCCAATGTTCTCAGATGTTCACTGTCGATTGAAATGTTGTATTGGTTATAAGCAAAACGTTACAGGAAAACATTCTGACGAGTCAAAAACAGTGGAATATGTAAGATGGGAACATAGTAAAAACAACCAATACACTGAGTCGATTGATGATGTGATACATACAATGAATGAAATAAATGAATGGATTGATACTTTGAGTAACAACAATCTTATTGGAAAAATGAAGTTGATGAAATAGTTTCAAAATTTTGTAATGTTATGCTAGACACGGCTCGAAAAACTATGTGGGTTAAAACGTATGTAAGTGCTGGTAACAGGCCAAAACCGAAAGTAACATCTACAAAGAAACCATGGTATGACAAGAAATGTAAAGCTTCTAGATCTGCATTTAAAAAGAGTCGGTCAAGGCACAGCTTAAGCAAATGAAATGAAAGAAAGAATGAAATGAACAAATGTGCTAAATCATACCGGAAACAATTAAACAAAAGTTTTAAAGAATATATATCGAAATGTGCGCACAACTTACGCGCGTCGGCCAAACACAATCCAGGGGAATTTTGGAAAATTATTAAAAAAAAAATCTATGACGAAAAACAAAGATAAGGAAATTTCATTAGATGTCCTATGTAACTTTTTTCAAAGAGTTAAATGACAATGAGGATGATGATGATGATGATGATGATGATGATGATCTAAATAGGGAAATTACGCTTGATGAAGTCAATAAAAGTATCAAGGAGCTCAAAAGTGGTAATTCACCGGGTATGGATCAGGTTTTGAACGAAAATATCAATTATCTACTTAATGAAGCACGTCTAATAATATGTTAATTGTTTAACCTTATTTTTAACTTTGGAGTGATCCATTGATCCTGGACAATTGGGATAATAAAACCAATTTATAAGAAAAAGGGTGACCCTAAAGACCCAGATAATTACCGGGGTATCACACTGATAAGTTGTCTCGGGAAACTGTTTACACATATTTTGAACAACAGGCTAAATGACTACTCAGATAAACATAATATAATCTCTCTTAATCAAGCAGGTTTCCGTAAGGTCACTCCACGGTTGACAATATTTATGTAAAGCACACGCTGTTATCTTTATATTTGGTCAGTAACAAAAAACTGTATCCGACTTTTATCGATTTTAGAAAAGCGTTCGATACGGTTTGGAGAGTAGGACTATTCAGAAAACTATATAAAACCAAAATTAGAGGCAAATGCTTTACTATTATCAAAAACATGTATGAAAATATAAAATCATGTGTAGAATTAAAAAACACCAAGTCTGAGTTATTTCCTTGTCTAGTTGGTGTAAGGCAGGGCGAAAATCTTTCCCCTCTTTTATTTTCTTTCTACCTTAATGACATGGAAGACTTTTTCAGAGCCAATAGTTCAATTCCCTTAAAACAATTGAAAGATAAATTTCAGACTGAGCTGAATATGTTTGTGGATCTTTTTGTCCTATTATACGCTGACGATACAATTATTCTTTCTGATTCTGCTGAAGGTTTGCATAATGCTCTTAACGTTTTCAGAAATACTGTGATGTATGGAAATTAGAAGTTAATGTGAAGAAAACAAAAATACTTGTATTCTGTAAACGCAAATCTTATAATAACCATGTATTTAGAATTAACGGTAAAGTTATAGAAGAAGTGGGCAATTTTAGCTATCTGGGTGTGACATTTAATTACAATGGTAGCTTTTTGAAATGTAAACGGAAGCTTTGTGAGCAAGCCCAAAAATCCATTTTTTCTGTGTATCGTAATATAAAAATAATAGACTTGCAACTGAAATTATTGCATACCCTAGTTAGTCCTATATTGTTACATGGATCTGAAATATGGGGCTACGAAAATATCAAAATAGTAGAACAAACTCATTTGAAATTTTGCAGACGAATTTTGGGCCTGCAAACTTCGACTCCAAACTTTATGATTTATGGTGAATTGGGTCAATATCCTCTTTAGATAGCTGTTAAGTTGAGAATGATGACTTTTTATAACTCACTCTTAATGAATACCTATAAACTTAGTTGCCATATGTATAGGTTAATGTTCAAACTTCAAGCCAATAATTTGTGTAAGTCTAAATGGTTAGAATATATAAAAATGTGTTTTGATGAAGTCGGACAAAGTTCTATTTTTTTTAAAGAGGAACCTATTAGTAAATATTATATTAAAAACACTGTCAATTTTTTTTTATTGATCAATTTTTACAAAGATGGCATGCAAACATTCAAAATTCATCACGAGGTGAACTATATGGTAACTTTAAGAAGAAACATGAATTTGAGCCTTATTTGACTCGCTTTTCTGAAAAAACCCAGATCAATATTATGCAAATTTAGATGTTCTAATATGAAACTTCCCATTGAAACGGGTAGATGACATAATATTCAAAAACAAGACCGAAAATGCACGCTATGTAAAAATGAGCTAGGCGACGATTTCATTATTTATTCAAATGTACAAATTTAATAATTGTAGAGCTTCGAGAAAAATACATACCTCTGTATTATAGAAAATATCCGTCTCAAATTAAAATGAGTGGTCTGTTGTCATTTTGTAACACGACAGTATTAAATATGTATCATGATTACTGTTTTTTGAACTTGCCATCCATTTTGTTATCACATGTGTATTATTATACTCTGATACCTCATGTTGTACATTTTAATGTATCTGAGGAAAAACAATAAACTTGTAAACTTGTAAGTACAGCCCGTGACCTTTCTAATCAGGGTAATTTGTAGCGAGGAGTACTCTTGATGTTGTTCATTTAAGACAGCTGGGCTCTGTGTTTTTTTTGTTTGTTTTTTTGTGTTTTATTTTTTTATTGTTATTTCTAAGGGGGTTGGGGTCTAAGTTAAATTTACATTAAGTTGTATTACTGTAAACCACTGTAAGGCATAGGCACTATATTACGCGGCATTCATATCATCTACGGGTCCATTCGGCACACCTCGGCAGATCTACATCTAGATGAAAGGTACCGGAATCGGCCGAGGTTTGCCGAATGCGACGGGTACATGACTCACGTGTTGACTTCGTCATAATGATGCACACTTCATTGAACTTCATATTTAATTTGGTAAGTACATAAATATTCTTTACAGTGTCAATATAAGCATTGGTCAGGTTTCAGTTGGCATATATAGTCAATATGAAATTGATAATGTCGAATAATACATGAAGTGCTAGTGTATTGAGGCTGGCTATGAATGCCAGCCGCAAGCAGTTCGATACCTAAGTAAATTCAACAGCAGTAGCGCTTTGTTGTCGTTTCCATCGGTCAACATACGTATTAATATTATTGTTATTGTAACTAAAGACAAGCACACGTCACTACTCATTGTTGTTATAATATCATAAGTGCGGCGGACGTCACAATAACTTAATCTGCCTTCTTTCATACAATGGGAGAAACAGATTATCCGACTCGGGAGCATTTATCGTACTTAAGCTTCCTGGATTAGATAATAATCATAATAGGTCATTTCTAGTTAACATTTTCGTCATCCATTCTTGTACAGAAGAGAGAAAGACGTTGGCTAAATCCCCACCCGTTGATTTGGTTCTCAAAACTGACTCAACGAGAAATGGCCCGAAAATGCTATGAAACATCAACAAAAAGATTTCTAGTTTAGAGGTACTTCCCTGGTCAAAGTATTCATATTTTATTATGATGCTTTGCATTTAAAATTATGTTTGCAGTAGTTGATAGATCCCGAGTTTGTTTCCCTGCATGTTTTTATTTTCAATTTGAAATGACAATAATTCCATAAAGAGAATGGCAAGATGTCACTCGTATTGTATACTTTTGTTGACAATGACATGCATAGCTTAAAGTTGACAATGATAAGTGACTATCGTAAGTTTGTCTGTACGTAGAACCCCTTACTTTATTGTATGTTAGGTTTCAAGTCTTCGATTCCTTCGATGTATTTACATTCTAATTAAAAATCCAAGTATTCTACCAAAATTCTATGAATTAATAAGACCATTATATGCCCTGAACCAATTTTAGCATAGTGACAGATGTAAGACATTGTTATAACTTGGTATAGAAAATAATGTTTGATTAAAAAACAAATGTGATGTGTGTAGTAATTTCAATAATTACTAATTTGGTATCTCGTTTGAAGTCTAGCGTTGTTTGTTTTAGAAACACGGCGTCCTGGTAGTGCAGAGTACTAGCAGAAAAAGTATGCCCGTCTACCAAAAACAATCGACTCGACATACATCAGGCGTTCGCTAATTATACTGTAATCTCTTGGTGCAAGACTCAAATGATTCGTCGATAGACAATTTTTATACCTCTCTCTCAATTATGTATTTAGGTTTTATGTCTGACAACTTCATAAATATCATAATCTTTATTTGCAAAAGACAGTATTGTCTCTGTTCTACATACATTCACAATGTTTGTAATACGGTAGTGGTACAAAATAAGTCTGAAAACTTGCAACAGGCAGCTTTAATAAAATCTGTGCGTTTTTTGTATTTGTTTTTGCTATTCACATGGTAACAACAGCTTTAGAGAGAGAAATATTACATCATTGTGAGTGAAGGATACACTGAGATATTTTACAGTAACTTATTAATACCCTATTTGTAATTTCATTTGCTTTGCTTTATAAATAAACATGGCCGTCGCTATTACCACCCGAGTGTCAATAGCCACTGCCGCGCGGCGTGGCTATTGACCCTCGGGGCATCTTCTCTGGAAAGCAGATACCGGGTGCATGGTTCCGAATTTCTATACATTTTAATCGTTGCTTTGCAATAAATGTATCCAAGCATATATGTAACTTTTTTGTCATTACTTGTACATTGTATTGATTTTTATTGATTTTTATATTTTTATTTAGAGGTATACTATTGCCCATAACTCTCTAAACATACTAAAACTGCTAATAAACAATCGTATCAAATGGACCGCTGGTGGTGGAGTTGGTGCTGGACTTGGTGCTGGTGGTGGAGTTCGTGCATGTGTTTTTGTGTATAGTACAGTTGGTACTTGACTTCGTGTTGGTGGTGGAGTTGGTGCTTGTGTTTTTGTGTATAGTAGAGTTGGTACTGGACTTGGTGCTGGTGGTGGAGTTGGTGCTCGTGTTTTTGTGTATGGTACAGTTGGTGCTGGATTTTGTGTTGGTGGTGGAGTTGGTGCTTGTGTTTTTGTGTATAGTAGAGTTGGTACTGGACTTGGTGCTGGTGGTGGAGTTCGTGCATGTGTTTTTGTGTATAGTACAGTTGGTGCTGGACTTGGTGCTGATGGTGGAGTTGGTGCTTGTGTTTTTGTGTATGGTACAGTTCGTGCTGGACTTGGTGCTGGTGGTGGAGTTGGTGTTGGACTTGGTGCTGGTGGTGGAGTTGGTGCATTTGTTTTTGTGTATAGTACAGTTGGTACTGGACCTGGTGCTGGTGGTGGAGTTGGTGCATGTGTTTTTGTGTATAGTACAGTTGGTGCTGGACTTGGTGCGGGTGGTGGAGTTGGTGCTTGTGTTTTTGTGTATCGTACAGTTGGTACTGGACTTGGTGCTGGTGGGGGAGTTGGTGCATGTGTTTTTGTGTATAGTACAGTTGGTGCTGGACTTGGTGCGGGTGGTGGAGTTGGTGCTTGTGTTTTTGTGTATCGTACAGTTGGTACTGGACTTGGTGCTGGTGGTGGAGTTCGTGCATGTGTTTTTGTGTATAGTACAGTTGGTGCTGGACTTGGTGATGGTGGTGGAGTTGGTGCTTGTGTTTTTGTGTATCGTACAGTTGGTACTGGACTTGGTGCTGGTGGTGGAGTTGGGGCTTGTGTTTTTGTGTATGGTACAGTTGGTGCCGGACTTGGTGCTGGTGGTGGAGTTGGTGCTGGACTTGGTGTGGGTAGTGGAGTTGGTGCTGGACTTGGTGCTGGTGGTGGGGTTGGTGCATGTGTTTTTGTGTATAGTACAGGTGGTGCTGGACTTGGTGCTGGTGGTGGAGTTTGTGCTGGACTTGGTGCTGGTGGTGGAGTTGGTGTTGGACTTGGTGCTGGTGGTGGAGTTGGTGCTCGTGTTTTTGTGTATAGTACAGTTGGTACTGGACTTGGTGCTGGCGGAGGAGTTGGTGCTTGTGTTTTTGTGTATAGTAGAGTTGGTACTGGACTTGGTGCTGGTGGTGGAGTTGGTGCTCGTGTTTTTGTGTATGGTACAGTTGGTGCTGGACATGGTGCTGGTGGGGGAGTTGGTGCTTGTGTTTTTGTGTATAGTAGAGTTGGTACTGGACTTGGTGCTGGTGGTGGAGTTGGTGCTGGACTTGGTGCTGGTGGGGGAGTTGGTGCATGTGTTTTTGTGTATAGTACAGTTGGTACTGGACCTGGTGCTGGTGGTGGAGTTGGTGCATGTGTTTTTGTGTATGGTCCAGTTGGTGCTGGACTTGGTGCTGGTGGTGGACTTGGTGTTTGTGTTTTTGTGTATAGTACAGTTGGTGCTTGACTTGGTGCTGGTGGTGGATTTGGTGCATGTGTTTTTGTGTATAGTACAGTTGGTGCTGGACTTGGTGATGGTGGTGGAGTTGGTGCTTGTGTTTTTGTGTATAGTAGAGTTGGTACTGGACTTGGTGCTGGTGGTGGAGTTGGGGCTTGTGTTTTTGTGTATGGTACAGTTGGTGCCGGACTTGGTGCTGGTGGTGGAGTTGGTGCTGGACTTGGTGTGGGTAGTGGAGTTGGTGCTGGACTTGGTGCTGGTGGTGGGGTTGGTGCATGTGTTTTTGTGTATAGTACAGTTGGTGCTGGACTTGGTGCGGGTGGTGGAGTTGGTGCTTGTGTTTTTGTGTATCGTACAGTTGGTACTGGACTTGGTGCTGGTGGGGGAGTTGGTGCATGTGTTTTTGTGTATAGTACAGGTGGTGCTGGACTTGGTGCTGGTGGTGGAGTTTGTGCTGGACTTGGTGCTGGTGGTGGAGTTGGTGTTGGACTTGGTGCTGGTGGTGGAGTTGGTGCATGTGTTTTTGTGTATAGTACAGTTGGTGCTGGACTTGGTGCTGATGGTGGAGTTGGTGCTTGTGTTTTTGTGTATCGTACAGTTGGTACTGGACTTGGTGCTGGTGGTGGAGTTCGTGCATGTGTTTTTGTGTATAGTACAGTTGGTGCTGGACTTGGTGCTGATGGTGGAGTTGGTGCTTGTGTTTTTGTGTATCGTACAGTTGGTACTGGACTTGGTGCTGGTGGGGGAGTTGGTGCTTGTGTTTTTGTGTATGGTACAGTTGGTGCTGGATTTTGTGTTGGTGGTGGAGTTGGTGCTTGTGTTTTTGTGTATGGTAGAGTGGGTGCTTGACTTGGTACTTGTGGAGGAGATGATGCTTTTGTTTTTGTGTGTAGCACAGTTGTTTCTTGGTTTGGTGCCTGTGATGGAGTTGGTGTGTGTGTATAGTTGGTAGAGTTGATGTATGTGGGTCAGTAGTCACATGGGGCTGAGTAGATGTGTGTGCTTGTGTTGGTAAGGGTAATGTCTGTGAACTACTTTCCCATGATGTCTTTAGATCATTTAAAAAACGATTTTTTTCATGCAATTCTTTAGTCCCACATCTACTTAAGAAACTAGCAAACTATTTGAAAAAATTATCAGCTATACTGAATTTCTGTCTTTCATTCAACACTTGTGCAGATTTTTCTTTGCGTGTGATTAGTTTGTCATGAACTTCTATTAATATTGCTTTATTTGGTGTGGATTGTTGATTTCTTTTTCCATCTATCTGGAACTATATCCTCAACAAAAATATCTAATTCACAATGCTGTCGAACATAAAAGATATGTTGACAAGGCAATTGATAATTGACAAAGAATGAACAATCACATGAGGTACACTTTTCATCAACAACAAAACATGAGTTCCCTTGGTTGACAACACACTGTTTGTTATCATTGTGAGTTAAGTTGAAATCCTTAGATTTGTTTACACTCTTTATATACTGGTTAGTTATTAAAACAGCAGCAGTAGTGACACAAGTCTGATGAATCTGTAAGATTATAGGATGCTGTTTCTTACCTCAATGTGAGTCTTCAAACACAAGTATTCATTGTAGCTTGATGTGGTGTATGATTCCTTAATGAACTCAAACAAATATTGTATAGAGTCAGCTAATTGCATGTGGCGATTAAGGTACATTTTAAGCTTCTGGTTGTGTGATTCTATCTTGTTATTGGTGTTATTCCCATGATTTAGCAGATGTTTTCTATAGTGATGGACCCAAATTTTCTTGTAATTATGCCAGTTATTGTCAAAGTATTCTTGAAAACATGGAATTCTGTTTTTAATTTGGTATACTATTTTGCATACTCTTATTCATTTTTTGCATAGGTGAGATTTCGTAACAGGAGCATTAATTTCTGCCTATCTGCTTTGTTCAAATCAAAAACACAAATTTTCTTTTTGAAATACTTAACAACATGAAATGTGCATAATGTAATTTCAGCACCAGGAATACTTTCTTTCAGTGCGTTTATCCCATTAAAGTGTTTGTCAACCATTTCTTCTTTAATTTTCGATATGTTTGTACTTTCAGCAAAATATTTTAATTTTGTTTTCAAGTTTTCTCTTGTTTCTGATTTCATATAACAATATGCCACTGGCCTACTCTTTCCATCTCTATCTTCAACCAATATAACACACAATGGATATCCCTCTATATTTACGTTATACGTAGAATCAAAGAAAACTACTTCCGGAAATGATTGAAACATGCATGTTTTTCATTTTTGACGTTTGTATGAAGCATATTTCCAGCTCGTCACTCTGGTTCATTTCTATCATAACAGTTGCCCCATGATCTTCCTTTTTACAATCTTTGACACTATCTATTAATATCTGCCCTGATGTCCGACCACCTTATTCTTCTGATTTAAATTTTTTCCTTATATTTGCTAAGTCTTCTGACTGGATTAATTTACCCTTATTTGATTTTACATACTCTTTTATATTCTTTATGTTTGCATTTAAATAAAAATAAAAATTTGATCTCTTCTCTTTCATCTTTCGATTTCCTGTAAACAACAACCAATACTCAATAGTAGACATATGGTCATGTATTATTATGAAAGACCAAACACATTTAAATTTCATACATTATTCAATTATGGAACACAACATGAATTTATATCATTGGCTACATTTATTTCTGATATTAATGAGTTAATTAATTTACAATACTAATGTCCGTCCTGTTCCACCATGTATTATTGTCACCCACTTGTATATATGTATTCTCTACAATGTATTGTTTGTGAGAATAAAACAATTGTCATTGTCATTACCAAACATTCCCTTTCATAAACAAAAGGGCTATCATTCCCTTTATTTGTGCAGTTTTAATGTTTACACCTATACATAATTACAACCAAATTACATATGATTACAATTTTGGTTGGTTAATAAGTGTGTTACTGTGCTTGCCCTATTGAGAAAAATCATGAAACCATATCTGATGTAATTCTTAATCAAGTCATCACTTGAATTGACAAATCTTCAAAAAGGAAAATAATATATGCACAACAATCATATTTAATTGAGTAATTAATCTATTAACTTCGTTAATTTTACATGTTTATTGAAGATTGTTTTAAATTCGTTTGTGAGAAAGGAAATATTTCATAGAGGAACAAAATGAGAAAATCTACATGTGATTTCACATTTGAAGTATTGTTTTGTAAGATTTTTACCTGTAGCAGCTGTATATTGCCCCTTTCAATATTTGATAAAGTTGAAATCGAAACATTTAAACTCATTTCAGACTAAATATTGACCTGTTAATTATGAAAATGTATTAGTTTGTATACGAGGAATATCTTACTATTAGACTTTTTTCACTTTAGGATTTGGGGCAAATAATGAAGTCTTAGGAAAATTGTTATTTTTCAAAAATATTTTTGTTTTCTCAAAACTGCAGATTGACACTACGGCACTGATTTTTAATAGTAGAACATCATGAAAGATGACCAAGATAACTTTTGAAGAGAAATCTAAATTGATTTTCAGGTCACCTGAGTCACTCATGGAATTTTATTTTATTGGGGATATTTTGTTGATTTTCAGTGGGAAATACTATTCCCAATTTTGGAACTATTTTTACTTTATTTCAATATTATTTTATGTTTTAACTAATGTTTACTATCTTCTAAACTTAATTTTGTAAAAGTCAATCCACATATAATTTAACGCAGGTGAAGTTAAATTACATATTAATAAAATATTCAAATATATCCTGCCCTTTTGTGAAACTTTAAGTACCCATAAAAATACACTATTTTGAAAACAAACATGCCTATGAGTTATTTATCTTAATGAATTTAGAGTTTTCCATTTCCCGTTACCGACAAGTGCATCACGACCAGTTAACAACAAGGTGATACTAATTCATATATTTATAGGTGATGTAATGAGCTCAATTGTCTCAAACAGACTTTGGCAAGCAGTGAACATTGTATACTGATAGCAACTTGTATGTATTACAAAACCAAAAGAATGCACATTAATAAATTTTAAATCATACAATGTCTGATATTTTCATCTACCAATATCAGCATAATATAAAGGTGGAATTTATTCTATCCTATTTTTTTCTTATCGATGAGACTATGAACATATTACAAACGCAAACACTTTGATAAATCAAATATATTTACCGAAATGAAATGGTTATACATATTCTTTATATTATTATTTTCATGTTCCGGTTAAAAAATAAATTTAAATCGTAATGGTAACTTTTTAAGCGTTTTATTCTGATTTAATTAATCAGAACTTATTTTTGTAAAAAACAGGTGCGGACTTAAGAGTCTGCACATTTCAGCAGAACGATTTTAAACATACATTCTGCTAATTTTAGATACGGACATTTAGAAGAAGAAAAGGATCTGAGAGATAAAACACGATTTGCGGATTGTAATATTAGAGGATATTTTACATATCTTCATATGATATTAAATATTATTAAGACATTGAACCTCCGATAGGGAAATAATCGCAAAATAAAACAATACACAAACAACAAAAAAGACAAGTTAATATACAAACATAAACAATATCAACCAAACTAAACTTTTAAATGATGCAAACCACACGCCATCAAATCTGTCTTTTGTTGTTAAAAATAGCACATAAACTACACTTTTAGCCGGATATCCGTTATTCGATAATGTTCCGCCGGTAAAGGATGTCTGGAGTTCCGAGATTCACCTGTCGCCGGTGCGTTCGGGTGAGATATAAAACATTGCCGGCCAGTCCTATTTTAGGCAGTATCGATTCATCTCAATTCTCCGGACAGTCGACACATCTGTCTTCCTCATTACAAGAGTTATCTTTCTTATTTTATTAGGGTTTATTTGACCAGCAGCAGTAGTTACCGTGATACGGACTAATTAATGGCCCCATAATTAGCGACGTTGTCTTGTCTAGATGTGTTCTGGTGTAGATTGATGGGAAAACTCTCTTATACTAAAAGTATATAGCTCGCTGATTTTATGATATATGTATAGACTTATTTCGAGGATGATAAAGGAAATATATCACCGACATCTTTATATCGAAATTCGACGAAGTTATTTTTTTCTTTTACATTTTGTGTACCATTGCTTATACAAACTATACAATATATTCGCTAAATACCCTACGAGGCAAGCTTGTAAAGATTGATGTAACGTTTTTATTTTTCGATTTCTTGCAAGAAAACGATTAAGACTAAGGGCATGTCCTAATTATTATTATGATCATTATTTAATTTTCATTCTGTGAAATGTGTCTCTTTAAGTATAAACATAACAAAAATAGAACAAAGAAATTAAAACTAATTGTCTATATTTGGTATTGTTTTATTTGATTTTTTGACTGCTTTGTTATTTATCTATGAACTTTCTTTAAGAAACAATTTAGATTTTATTAAACCAGCACATTAACTTCAGTACCTGAAGAATTCAGAATTAATTGACGACTACATTTTCAGATATATACATATCAATGATTTATATATTATCATCACTAAAAGGATCTCGACAATTTTAAGAACCACACGAATCCGATTGCCAATGCACCAGAAAATCTCCTGGAGATTGATATTCATCGACGATTCTTGTTTCATTATTCTGAGAAAACATTTATATTCCTGAATTGTGCCTGGAAACTAAATTAGATGTCTGGGAAAATAAAGGCACCAATATGGAAGCCAACGCTGACTTTCAGAAATTCGTTTGTTTATTTGTTTTTTATTTTTTTATTATTTTTATTTTCATTAATTCCAATAAGTATATATGTTTGTTTATTGTTTGAGGTATAGGACTATGGTTCATGGTTCATGGTGGTCGACGTCTTCGTAAGCATAGTATTGCTTCTGTTGACGCTTCTTCATAGTTGTTCACATATTAACAGGTTGTGCAGAGGACGCGTTATACAACTTATATTACATATTAGTGGCACGATGGTATGGTCACTTTTGTGTCCCCAAGAAGAGGGCACAAAAGCAAATTCCCAATCCGTGTACAGGTTTGAGTTATGGTCATTGACTATGAGTGTGGATTGCTCTCAGTACATTGCCTCGATGGTTGTTCGATTTTGTAGAGAGTTACATTTACTGTAACGTTGCTGCAGACCAAATCAATCTGTAACCAACTTTAGCCAATGTGATAGCTGTGTTTTGGATCAGCGAGCAAGAAATCTTATCACCGTTCCAATGTGATGTGATAACGTCTCGGAAAACGGTCACGTGATATGGCATGTGGTATACGTGTATACAACGTGAACCTGTGTTATGAACATTGGCCCCATGCTGCCGTAAAAAGTACTGTTAAAGACATGCAACCCATCATATGTTAATTTTAGTAACAGTTACGTATTTACATTTAAAAACTGTTTGATACTCAGTTGACACGAATAAAATTTTGCTCGACCAGACTCAATACTTTTCAAAATACATGTAAGTACTACTGTATAATAACCCCTCGATGTAACGCCCTAGTAATAGTTTCCACTTTGCTTACCGCAAGCATAGTTTAAGACCATCTTTTCCTCTTCTTTACAAAATCCATTTATTCGTCTCTGTCCTTTTATCGACAAACCCCTTTATAATGCCGAAGTTTGTTTGTCATCTGATGACGATATAAGGAGGTTTTATTGTTCTTGCTAAGTGTGATAAATGATGCTGTCTTATAAATGCCATTGTAGGTGTCAAACTCGTCCAAAATATATCCTCTGGATGACTTGCACGAGTGTCCAACCCAAAGTGAATTGACTGTCCGATTCAAAATCAAATGATTGTTCGACTGTACATTAAATGTTCCACGAAAAGTTAATTACCTGTTCAAGGTCAAATAATTATTAAATTAAAAAGTTAATTGATTGTCCGACTCTAGGTGAAATGATTACCCCTTTCAAGGTTGACTGCCTGTCCGAATTTAGGTCAGTTGATTGTCTGATTCAAGGTCAGTGACATGCAACTAACCAACTTTATATCATTTGACTTCAGGTTAAAAACAACTATCCGAACTCTGGGGACTAGGTTGTGAAATGCAGCGCCAATTAACTCAAAATGAATTGAATGTCTGATTCACGGCTACTTGACTGAATGACTCTAACTTAATTTATTGCTCGACTTAAACTTACAAGTCTGTCTGTCTCAACGACAATTGACTCACGAGCATTCGCTATCCGACTCTGGCTTTAGTGACGGTCAGATTCAATGTTGATCAACTCTGCGAGTCGCAGTTAATAATCATTAATTGGTACGCTACTCAAGACAAGTGAACATCTTTTGCTTTAGATTAGTCTAACGAAAAGGACATTTGACTGTCCAATTTCAACTGGACTTAATATTATTGGCTAACTCAATTTTACCTGACTCTCCGAGTCTTATTGAATTTACACTGGCTAGTTGTTGTTGACTGCTCGGCATATGAATAGTTGCCTATTTAATTCAAGGTTAGTTCACCGAGAGGGTCAAGGATAATTGAATTTTCGACTAAGGATAATTTCATATTCTAATTCTATGTTAAATGTATGGTGACACTAGGACATTTCACGCAATGAAAGTTGATTTTTCAAACTTAAAAATTCTTACAAAGCATTCTGAATTTTAAGAGAAGATAAAGAAAATAAGGACAGCAAATGTTTGTTTTCCAGCCTCAAAACCAGTCATACAAATCGGGATATGGAGGTGAAAGAAATTATAAGTAAAATAAAAATATGTAAGAGGGCAAAGTCAAGGGACATAATCCAATTATGCTGACCAGTTTTCAAAATTGTGCCACATCGATCCGATACTCTGTGGAAACTAGCAACCCTGTCAATCACAGATGTATTGATTTGTATAGCTACTTTACCGGGACAGGGAGAGACTCAACGGTAGCGAGCAACAGGAGGATGAGAGACGCCTTATTGACAATACCCTCTCTGAGCTTATCCATTTTTAAAACGTATTATAACACGGATTATTTAATATTTCTATTTGAACTTTTCTATATCTTAAAAAATTCCCTTTGGAATAAGTCTTATTTTTTGCTTTATATGAAAACACGAGTTATTTCGTTTAATCGATAATGGAATTTATTAGTATTTATCGGTTTTTTAGCAAATAAATAATTTAAAACATTATTATGGATCGACTACAACTAAAATTATTTTAACAGGCTGTGTGGAAAACCTATTCTTTTAAAAGAAAGATAAGAAAGATATGAAAGATTTCACAACAGTATAAAATACCAATTCAGACTTAAAATCAGTGAATATTGTCCCATACACGTGGGATTATAAATTATCAATAAACACGTGAGCACGTGATGGAATTATGCCTAAATTAAGAAAAAAGAATTGTGGTCATACGGAGTGTACGCCCTTGCATATATAAAGACTATTGGTCATATACGTCGTAAAGAAATCGAAATAGTGTGTACGAAGCTCCTGCAACAGGTACACGCATTACAACGCCTCTACCAGCTCCGGTATGATAGAAATTGTGTGACGTCATCGTACTGATCCAGCCGCTGAATCTGTTGCTATCTCGGAGGATTCCGGAGCCGGCCTTATAGTCCCTACACAAGAACGCGCATACACAGTGTAGCTGCTTATGGTTTTAAAACTGAGTATTTAGAATGTTTTCCAACTTCACCTGCAGTGTGTGGATACTCGCTTTGATTTCGGCAATAACTCGAGGTAAGCTTGGTTTTTTTGTGTATAATTGCAGATTTCATTAAATTTGTCTCAATTTTCATAAAGTGGCCTGCTATTTGAAGTAAAAACAAAGATAACTGTATATTAACATTACAAAATTATGAAACCAAACAAATGTGTTCCAACTAATACAGAAGTTTAAAGTCTGTTTTTCAATATCCATTTGTTAAAAAAAATCGAAATCGTTCAATTCAAATTTCCAGTGAAAAGTTCAGGTTTATTGGATAACATTTGATTCAGACAAGATAAAAATGTTGAAGTTGCTTACAAGCGAAAAAAGAATAAGTCTTGTTTTAAACGAAAAGTGTGCTTGCTTATAGACAAAATCACTCTTTCTGCTACGACATCATTTTAAAAATATTTTTCTACACAAATGACACATACCGTCTATAAAGGTGCAAACATATTTAAATGATATAAATAGGATTTTTCTTGCTTCTTGATCAACACAAACTATGCTGTTTTCCGTTGGTAGTGTATAACTTGCTATTTCCCATTGGTGTCAATCATGAATGAGGCATTAAGACAGTTATCACTTCACGAATTTATAAAAAAGCAAAAACTTCTATATACTGTACAATATTTTTATCTGCAACTTTGCTTATCGCCAATGTATTTGAAGGTCGAAATTTTCCTTTTTCTAACAATTACATTACACTTCTCCTATATTCTGACAAACCCCTTTATCGCATCGATATGGCGCTAGACAAATTGTGGAAGAGTATGATATCCCTCTATGAACTGTAACTGGTTTTCATCAATTTATGAAATGTCGTTAGTTCGTTCTGAAATCTAAACACACTTTGTGAAACCTGATGTCTTTCAACAATTGATTCTTATTTTATTTTTGTATTCATTAAGGAAAACACATATTTTTACTTTCTTACTAAACAAATATATTTCAAACTATGATTCTGTCGATATTGTAAAGCATCTTAAATATTTGAATATGTTTTTTCGAGTGCTTTGTGGTTTTGTTGAAACTACCCCGGTTATGGCTTTGAGGACGTAACATTACTTAGATTAACATGGACAGTGTTTTTAATGAAACAGAGGACGTCTACCCTTCTGGAACGATTGGACGTACCCTCCTTATACCTTTCCAAGAGTTTCCAAGAATATCTTTGTTTGTTCATATGTGCCTTTAGTTTTATTGATTTAGAGTTCTTATTAATGTTTTGTCGACACCTCAGCAATTCTTGTTGTGTTTGTCTTTTTGGTACACAAATTGAGGTAGATAATATATGTGAGAGATTGACGTCATCAATTATGTGTTGTCATATACGAAAGTTGAGACCCAATCATTGGACACTGGCGTAGATACTGAAACCTTCATTTACAATTTACGAAACCATCACAAAAATCTGAAATATACAGTTTTTACAAAATCCATTGATATACAGGAAAAGTATATTCCTATCTGTTACTCGATTTCAATTTGTCACAGTATTTGTGAGATAGATATTGATACTCGCATATCACAATGAAGGGTTCCTGATATTCATATCACTCATCGTGTCGACATTCTTTTATTTTCTATACCACAACGTCGCTTTTACAAGAAAAGTAATTCTTTTATTCAAAATAAATCTAAATTCTGCTTTAAAGTGCTCCGACCTTTTCATACAGGGGAAATTATCCCAATATCGGTGTTTAAAATGTCTTAAATTACAGTAAAAATGAATCGCATTTGACATTTACGACGTTATGCTTGAAAATGTTAAAGGAGTTTGTCTTTGAAAAAAGAAAACAAGTGCTATTTATTTGTATGGGCGTGGCAGTTAGCCTCAATAATGAATAGTTAATGTAGAATGTGTTTTTAAAAATGTTATCATTTGACAGAAGAAGGAATACGAGTAATTTTATCGAACTCTGAAATAGAAAACAGCGGGGTCGGACATTAAAGACCCTTTAGTTCTTTTCACGTTGCGTTATCTCAGAAACCGACGTGTCCAATATTGCCTGCTTTGTTAGATTTTCAAGCGTTGAAAATTCTTTTCTTTTTGTTTTGTTTGTTGTTGACAAACATGGCATTGTTTTTTGTTGACAAACATGACAAGGGCTATCCTTATTGATGAGCTTAGACTTTGGTAAGACCTGGTCCCGTTTTTCATCAACGTTTACTTAACTTAAATGTTTCCTTAACTTAAAATCGCTTAGGAATTCCTTAGCTAATGTTTTTCGAAAAATGCGTTTCGTGAACGTTTCTTAACTTAACTAAGGAGCTCCTTAAAGTTAAGGACCGTTGATGAAACTGGGGCCAGAACGTTATGGGAGGGCCGTATAGCAATCCTATTATTCGTCCTATCATGCACGGGTTTGATTGACATTATACAGATTCTTCATTATACAGCATGTTTGAAATCTTCATCAGGAATAATTGGTCTTATTCTTCTTGTACTTTTTTCAATGTTCTCAACACAATTCTTTCTTTCGTTAAATATTTTGCCACAGGTTGATCAATTGGAGTTAGAATTATGCTTTTATTGACATTTCAGCATCCTTTTGTTGATTTATTACGAGATTTGATCCAAGAAATAGTTTCAATGCTTGGGTACATTGAATTTTAGTATACATAGTTGTAAGGTACTGTTTGTATAGTTTATCTTATAACTACATGTACGAAATATAAAAATAGGGGAATCAATGCATAGTCAATGCAAGGATAATCAAATCTGTAACCTGTAGAAGAGCGAGATCGGGTTATCTCAGACAATGGCTAATATTTTGTAATATATTCCATATACAGGATAGTGCATTTTCTCAAACTTCTAATAAAGATATCTGATGTTATACTAGGCCTATGTGCTATATCTCATTTGATATATAGAGAATAATACATGCCTTTTTCCATATCACACCCAGGATCAACCCGAGACTGCAATATCAGCCCAAGGGCCGAAGGCCCGCGGGCTGAAATTGGTCTAAGGTTGATACTGGGTGTGATATGGAAAAAGGCGTGTTTTATTCTGTTTATTACATACTTACTAATAAAAACTACTATCTTATGATTTATTTTAATTTTTGAAATATTGAAAAACGATTTATTTTCCAAATGGGGTGTGATATTGGTTTTGCGGGCTGATATGGGTTTTGGGGTGTGATACGGCGGGGGCTGATACGGGTTTTGGGGTGTGATACGGCGAGGGCTGATAAGGGTTAGAGCAATTGTGTCGTATCGCATATACAAAAAACCCGTATTTATTAGTAAGTATGTAATAAATCTTGCTATATTTTTATGTAAAATCTGGCAACAACTTTTTAATGGCAATATATTCATCCGCGCTCTGAAGAAAATGCATTTGAAAATTTCCATTCTGTCGTTAAATTTATTGCCTTTGTCCTAATTAATCATGGTATATTATATCTTATATTCAACATGCAACATTTTTTCTTATATTATTAGCGCGGACTACATTTTTTACGCGGAACTATTCAAACAGATGTTGTAGTGCAAGAAAAAAATCAATTTCCTATAAATGAGTAAGATCCCGTAGTGACAATTTCTGGATTAGATTCTAAAACATCCCGACCTAGAATCCCGCCTTGGTTCGGATTACATCACAGAATCTTAGCCTCGATTGAGATAACCGGATCTTGTTTAGTTTCAGGTTAACGGTTTTATCCGTCTGATATTTGCCTTGTCAGCTGAGCGTAATAATTAGACCTACGGCACTGTATGAAACATATTTCGATGTAAACATGATCTTCATTGATGATCTCACAGCAGTCACCTATAGAAACATTGATTATTTTCAACATGAGCTGGTTTTGATGCAGGCTGAAAACTATGTACATGCATATTTTTGGCACTTTTGACACTCAGCATTCATTAATGTGTTATTTGTTATTTTTTCAATTGACCTTTTTTGGCATGACCTAATAGATAAACGTGGATGTCGTGATTTTGTTCCCAAAAATTGTTATATCATCGTTTATTTTAGTAAAACTGTTTGTTAAAAATGTATCCTAGACCGAACGTATAATATGAGGATTGTTATGCGCCCTGCTATGATCTCAGAGGGACATATGCTGATTCTTTATGTGAAATGAAGGTGATAGTTTTTGATTATGCTCAGTCATGTGTGCTTCGTGTTTTTCTTCTCTTCTATCGAGTTCCCGACACAACCTGGGTTGTACCTGGTTGACATGGCGAGTGTCGTTGGTGGAACAGAAGACGCTTACCCTTTCGTAACACCTATTCGTTAACCTGTACTTTTTCAATGGTCTCCATTTT